ATTATTTATAGATTTTATAAATGCAATAATAATTATCCCAAACTAATTTCTGAATTCGGTATTACAAAAATATTTTCCAAGATTTCTACCAATATGTAGATAGAAAAAATTAAAATGGGTCAATATAAATAAAAAAATATATAAAATATATAAAATAAATTGGACAAATTATTTTAATTTAATTTTAAGCTTTCCCAAGTTCCTGCACAACCCGAGTAACCGACCGGCGTCCGAAACAAATCTCCACGTGTCTCTATCCAGAAGCAAGTGGTCCCACATGATTATTTTCGCTATCATTTGTAATGATGTTACTATCTGTATAGTGACCCCCTTTCGTCTTCCATTTCCGCTGATTTCTCCTCTGAACTCGTGATACTCTCACTGAAATTCGTACCGGTGTTTGGAGCAGCGTGCCGCTTCGCACTTTGGCCATTCAAGCATCCGGGGCCTTTACTTGCTGCAGAAGTCTGTACTTCACCTCATTTCTACACCTTGTTAGTCGGTTCGGATTCTTTCCAGCAAAAACCATAGCCACAGATTGCTTATGGTTCTATCTGAAATCCCTAAATATCTGTGGTTTCAGCTGATCATCGGACGGGAGCACATATAGTATAAGGTTTTCTCATGAAACCAGAGAAATATTGTTGTTTCGTATTTCATTTTCATTTTTTTTTATTGTTTTGGTGGTGTTTCAACCGATTATTTGTGTTTATATTCACATGTTGTACCGTCTTCAGATGTCGTTATGGTTTCTCCATAGGAATAGCTGTTATTGTTTGGCTGGAAGAATTGTTCGTATGTGTTATCTCTGTATATGCGATGTAGGTCTCGCTTGTTTGGATTTTTAAGCTTTGATTGTCAAATGAAGTGATTATTAGTGCGGAATGATTATACATGGGATATTGTTACTCAGATTCCGTTCTGGTTTTTGCATAGAAATGCTTGTTTTTGGTAGGAGGGAGTGACATAGTTTCGTCATTTTTTTTGCTTTTGCTTTTGCTTTCATTTATTCCTTTGACTGGTATGGAAATTGATACGTGTTAAAACTAAGTTTCCCTGCGCTAATGTTTATCAGCTTTTAGTCTCTTTTTTTGCACTGCATTGCCTGTTTTTGGTGGAAGAAGGGTTCAGGGACCACGTGTGTGCATGTTGTGTCTATACATGTATATATCTGCTTTATCATTTCATCGGTGGCTTAAAACCTGATTTTCTGTCAAAGTTGTAAACCCAGTGTGTGTCTTTGTGTAAGTCCTTTTAAATCGTAATGTATTCTTTGTTTCTTTATTGGTTGTGATGAAATACCTTGACTATCTGTACTGTTATACTTCTATATTTGCAGATTCCTCAGTTGCTTGGAGGGGAATCAAAAAATGGCGTCTCAACAAGCTCCTAAAAAGAGGCCAATGGAGGAAATGGCTGGATATGAAGTTGCAGACAGAGTCTACCGTTTTAAAATCCTGTTACCAAATGGGACCAGTGTAGGGTTAGCAGTGCGTGACCCTGAGCCTAGAATGGAGTTTTGGGACTTTATAAAGTTGATAAAAGATGAGTATTATGCATCTTTGCGGCAAAATCAATTCATGAAGAAGAGAAGACCAATTAATTGGTACAGTGAAAAGTTGCTCCTGGAAGATGCAAATGATAAGAAGACGAGGACAAGAATTAACTTTGAAAATTTTAAGCCATTGAAGTGTCACATTATACGGCTTCATGTGAGTGCCGATTGCATTAGTAGTCATGTTTAGCTGAAGGGTGGGGTAAAAATATGGGAAAGTTAGGGAAGCCAAAACAACTTTTCTAACCTACTTATAAGATTAAACTTTAATACATTTTTCCAACTTATGCTCAATGAACTTTACTTTCTCTTGTTCTATTTTTCAATTAGGACGGGTCTGGTGAGACTATGGATACTTTTGAGGTTAGTAGTCTGTCCTGAATGGTAACATGTATGTTGCTTTACTTACTACATTTATCATTAGTGGTGCATTTGCTTTGCTTCATTGTAAAAGTTTCATGTTCTTGATCAACCAATTATTAGATATGTGGTGAAATTTGATTGTTTTACAGAACATGTGGGATTTAACACCAGATACTGATTTGCTAATGGAGCTACCAGAGGAGTACACTTTTGAGACCGCACTTGCAGATCTGATGGCAAGTTCTCGATGGAGTTTAGAGTCTGGGTTTCTTTTATTTTTATTTTTATAAATGGGTTTTGATTTTGTAAGTAATTTAAGGGCTTATACTCCTCTTGCTGGTCATGTAACAGGATAATTCCTTACAAGCTGTATGGTCTAATGATAAACATGGTAGGAGATTGATAAGGTGGGGCCTGCTTTCAGTATAATATATCGTTATTTCTGTTCACTCTAAGATAATTCATTTGTGTATGAATGATTTTTTTTTTGAAATTGAAGAGTTTTCAAGAGTACAAAGTTGTATTTTGATAGTATTAAGGATACTTGATTTCAGGCCCTAGCTATTTTGATTAATGTGATTCTCTTTATTCTTGTGAGAACTTCGGGTATATGATTGAATTTTTTATTGACATGTAAATATTTTCGCATACGGGTTGCATACTGTTGATGCTTTTAATGCATCATACCTTTTATTTTCGGAAAAATATCTACTTGCTTTCCGATTTGAAGTAAGTAATAAAATTTGAATTTCTAATTGTTGAAAGAAAGCTGATTATGAAAGTATTGAGCTTACCATTTGGGATTTGCTCATAATATATTCTTCTCAAATTATTATTCTTCTCAAGAAATACTACAAAAGGTCTTATAAAAAAACTTATTTGTTCTCAAGAAAGTTTGATTTAGTGTGAAAACAAAGTTGCTATGGTTGATGTCATTTGGTTGGTTGTCAGTTATCATTTAGGATGATTATGATGGAATTATCTGTGTGTTTTTCAGGGTGGATGTTTCTGAAGGTAGGATTTCAATCTTTGATACCGGTTCTGGAATGGATGGGAGTGATGAAAACTCCATGGTAAAGTGGTATACTTCTATTTTCTTCATCAACTTTATTGTTCATCAGTTGGTAGTTATAATTTGTAGCCCACCTCTTGTTATTAGATCTATTAACTTTGAGCCGGTACTGAGAAATTCTATTAGCCATTTTTTTCAATTTTTCTTTTTCCCGTTGGATAAAGACTTGTGGATGTTCTTTCAGGAAGCTTAGAAGTTGAGTTATAAAATTGTCGAAGAGGAAGACTATTACAATGGTGAAAAGAATAGTAGGGAAAATAAATGGATGAATTCAAAGGATATTTTCCAATGATGACTTGTTTGCATTGGAACTAAGCCTCCAAAATTTAGAGTTAATTGATTGTTGAAGTTCAAGTATCACTGTATATAAGTAAAAAGAAATATATTTCAAACAATGGCCTAGTTTCAAAGAATAATTTATTTTTGCATATTGCGTGCATTCTACTTTTAATTAGTCACATGTTATATATTTATTCATCCTCCAGGGGAAAGATTGGGGCCTCGCTTCACAGATCTTCAAAAGCACAAGGAATAGGTGGCAAACCTCCTTATTTAATGGTAAGCATACTGTGTTATAGCTTCAAACTATGGCCTTGTTCTGCAGATAAATGTTATCCAGGCCTGTGCTGTCCTTAATTCATGTGCACTATGTTTCTTTGGCTCCTTCTATTAATTTTTGTTTTGATGTCTAATCATATTCTGCTCAATTGAGCATGTTTACTCGTTGGAAAGTTTTAGGAAAATTCGAAGATAATTTGGTGTTATAGCTAGTTACTATCATGGCTTTTATCTTATATTGTTAGATTTATTAAAATTTCAAGATGTGCATTTGTTGAACTTAACCCACCGTGTCCTATAAACTGAAAATCTATAGATTATCTAACATTTACAATTTCTTTTCTTTTGTCCATTAATGATTTTATCGGTCGGAACTAAGGACCTCTTGTCTGTTCCCATGCAGCCATGCTTTGGCATGTTTGGATATGGAGGAGCTATTGCATCTATGCATTTAGGGAGGTACAACTCCCCGTTATTTTTTCTCCATAATTGAAAAAGTGCTGTCCTATCAAAATTATTTGTTTTTCAACTTCTTATCGGGTTATGTACTTTTTTACTGTCTTCTTATAGGCATGCTTTAGTGTCATCGAAGACCAAGAGTTCAAAGAAGGTGTATACATTACACCTTGAGAGAGAGGCTTTACTAAGCCAAAATAACTCTGGAGTTACTTGGAGGGTAACAAGCTCCCTGATCAGTGAATTGTCTTTTAAGAAGTTTGCCTTGCTAGTAATGTTTTGTGTAAGAGCAATTTTTTAATGTAGGAAGTGTCAAACTAACATTTTACATTTCAAATTATGTATTATTATTTTAGACTGATGGTAGCTTGAGGGATCCTTCAGAAGACGAAATTGGTTTATCACCTCAAGGAAGCTTTACAAAGGTGGATTCTGCTCCATTTTTAATTTTCCATTCTTTTTTATCCTTATTCTTTAGACCAGCTGTGTATGCTTTTAAATTACTTTGTATCTAATTTGAGGATGTAGCAATATGTTATGCTTTTCCTCCTATTATATATTAGGTCCTATACCTGGGGGTCTCGTTGTGGGTTCCTGCACTGGCAAATCTAGTGAAGGACCTGAATTATGGATGGAGTTTCTACCCTTATGACCTACTATTAGTGATAGGAAAAGGACTTGTTAGAGAAAAGCCTTCAATCTCATAAACAAGAAGAACTAATGAAGTTTTTCTGATTTTTCTGCATATTTCTAATACATAGCACTCTTGTAAGCTAACATTAGAAAGTACAACTTACCCCAAGGACAAGTAACTTACCTGGAGGAAGTATGATAAGCCCCAACGATCCCAATGGGTTCCTGTGAGGCACCCGAAATACCTGGACTGATAAAGACCTACCCATAACGGCTGCAGAAGTGATCTGCAACGGCAGCAGCAGAAAAAACGGACACCTCCAGAACCAGTCAAGAGGATCCTGAGATTTGCTCTCCCACTAGCATTTTTCTATTTTCCTTCTTGATTTTTTTGTATCTTTAATTCTTATCTGTAACCACCAAAGCAGGAATTATCATTGTAACAAATTCTGGATCCTGCGATATGCTCTCTCACTAGTGTTTTTCTAATTTCGTTTTTGGTCTTTGTATCTTCAATTCTTATCTTTAACCACCAAAGCAGGAATTATCGTTGTAACAAATTCTATTTAAAGATTGACCAAACCGTCAATAAAGCAGATCATAATTTTTCCAGAAATGTTTTTGGTCTTTTCTCACCATAAGCAGAAAATTCTTGGGTTATTTTGCAGCTCCAACTGGGACCAACAAGGACATTGGTGTTCGAACACGGTTAAAACGACCTCCAACAAGGAACGCATCGAGAATCTAGAAGCTGGCCCCGGCGGATTATAAAATAGTTTCTGCCGAATGGAAATCAAGCTGACCGATAAGATGTGTCTAATAGAGGAGAGCCTCTAGCAGTTACCAGACACCTTTGCTTCTAACCGAGAAGGATCCAGCAGCAACCAAATGAGCCGCTCAAGTCTGCCGCGACTGGTTTGTGAAGAAAGGCCCGAGTGCGACCACGGGAGATCCACCATCTACTCCAAACTGGAGTTCCCGTCCTTCTCAGGCGGCGAATCCATCGAATGGCTCAACCAGATTGGGCAGTTTTTTGACTTTCAGGCGACAACTGTGCAACACTATATAGTCCTATCGTCGTTCTACCTTGAAGGAGAAGCCAACTGCTGGTGGCAGTGGCTGAGTAAGCTTTACAAAGAAGAGGGTTGCACAATAGACTGGGCCGTGTTTGAGGAAGAATTATGGGACAGGTCTAGGCCAACCAAGTTCGAAAACTTTGATGAGGACCTATCTCGCATCAAACAGACCGGCCCATTATGAAAGTACCAAAAAGAATTTGAACGCCTGGGTAACCTGGTCCACGAGTGGACCCAAAAGGCCCTGATTGGGACCTTCATTGGTGGGCTTAAGCCCGAGCTGGTAGATGGATACACATGTTCATGCCCAAAACTTTAAAAGATGCAATTGACCTGACCCTCATGCAAGAAGAACAGATGGACCAGCAATGCATATTGAACCGGTTGAGGGAAAACCCGCCCGCGAACACCCAAGCCGCCCTTAGCTATCACTTCGTCCTGAATCAGCAAGCTCTAGTTGCTCCCTATATCGCGAAGCGTCTCTCCTGGGACGAGAAGTAGCAACAGTAGACCCAAGGTCTCTTTTTCAAATGCAATGAGAAGTTCATTGCAGGCCATCGTTGCCGCGAGTCGCAGCTTCTGTTGCCCGAGAGCGGGTGCGAAGGAGCCGACACCAAAGAACTAGAAATCTCGCTCCATGCCCTCACTACGTGGCCTAACACAGGCACTATGAAAGTTCCTGCCACCATCCAGGTTATCCACGATTTGGTCAGTGACTGAGTTGTGGGGCGTTTACAACTCCCAATGATCCCAACATCGCCATTCGTCGTGAAGGTCGCAAACGGCAAGCTGATGAGTTGTAGAGAGTGGTTTAAAAATGTGTCGATCACCATTTAAGGTATTTCGTTCACCCTCACTCTTTATTGTCTTCCTCCAATGGGGCTTGATCTTGTGCTAGGAGTGCATTGGTTGGAAGCCTTGGGCACGATGATGTGCGATTGGAAGAAATTAACGATGAAATTCCAATGGCAGAACAAGCCACAGTTGCTACACGGTTTGGGAGCGCCACCATTCAGGCGTCTTCCCTGGAGGAGATCAATCGGGCCATTCCAGGTCGACACTTCATGTAAGCCATATGTTTCAGGGCCGAGCGTGAGGTTGCTGCACCGGGTGACAGAATTGAATTACAAGAATTGTTCAAGGAATTGTTTGAATTATTTCAAGAACCAAAATAGCTACCGCCCGAGAGGGACATTGATCACCGAATTCATCTCAAGGACGATACCGAACCAGTCAATGTCCAACCATATCGTTATGCATATTTCCAGAAGGCAGAGATAGAGAAGTAGGTATAAAAAATGTTCAGTTCAAGACTCATACGCCACAGTACCAGTCCTTTTTCCTCCCCTGTTCTGTTATTGAGAAAAAAGAACATTGTGATTTAGCGCCAATTACCACGCGCTCAATGTTGTTACAATTAAAGATTGTTTTCCCATTCCCACCGTAGAAGATATGTTCGTCGAATTGAACGGAGCTGTTTACTTCACAAAATTATATCTCACTGTCGGATATCATCAGGTTTGTGTCCATCCTTCTGACATTCACAAGACTGCTTTCAGAACCCACAACGGCCACTACGAGTACTTGGATGCGCTTGGTCTTTGTAATGCACCTTTTACATTTCAAGCCATTACATTTCAGGCTGTTATGAATGTTATTTTTCGTCCATATCTGCGAAAATTTGTGTTGGTTTTCTTTGATGATATTTTGGCATATAGTGTCAACTGGGATTCCCATTTAGAACATATCGGGATGGTTTTTGAGATCCTAAAGCAACATTGATTCTTTGTGAAATTAAAAAAGTCTGTTCGTCCACCAAGAATTAGAATATCTTGGTCATATTGTTACATTAGGAGGGGTCAAAGTAGATCAAGAAAAAATTCAAGCCATGCTCAATTGGTCGAAACCCATCAACATCACAAAGCTACATAACTTTCTAGGTCTTACCAGATACTATCGCAAATTTGTGAAGAGCCATGGACTCATGGCTAAATGCTTGATAAGTTTACTCAAAAAAAGATTCTTTCAATGGAACGAAGAAGTTGAAGCAGCATTTACAGAATTGAAGCAAGCCATGACCTCCACACCCACTTTGGCACTCCCAAATTTCACTAAACCCTTCACTATTAAGGCGGACGCATAAGGCGATGGAATTGAAGCAGTACTTACTCAAATATCGCTTATATGAGCCATGCATTGGGCACGTTTAAGATGTCTTGGTCCACCTAGGCCAAAGAAATGTTAGATATAGTGGTCGACGTTCAGAATTGGAGGCCGCATCTTTTGGGGTGTAAGTTCTTTATCAAGACGGATCAATGCAGCTTAAAGTACCTAATTGATCAAAGAATTACCAATCCTGAGCAACAAAAATGGGTCTCCAAATTATTTAGTTATGACTACGAAATACGGTACAAACCTGGGAAAGAAAATCAAGCCACCAACGCCCTCTTTCGGCAAGTAAACAGGCCAACATTAAATGCCCTTCACAGCTAGTATATCACTATGGGACCAAATTAGAGAAGCAGCCAATGGCAACCGTTATATGCTTAGAAGAGCTAGCCCAAAACCATCCAGGCTGCCCATATACAGATAAAATGGTCTAATTTGCTATAACAGCGCATTGTAGTACCTCTGAAGTCCAACATCATCCAACACTTATTGCAAGCATATCATGACTCTTATATGGGCGGTCAATCAGGAGTACTCAGAACTTACAAAAGGCTGGTACAACGATTTTTTTGGGCTTCCATGCGCCAAACAATTCAAAATTATGTATCGGTTTGTGAAGTATGCCAAAGGGCCAATTTAGAAACTACTGGGTTATTATAATCACTACCTATTCCATGGTAAGTTTGGGATGACATTACCATGGACTTTAAGAAGGGTTACCTCATTCTCAGGGTAAAAACACTATCCTGGTAGTCGTTGACCGCCTTAGCAAATTAGCTCATTTTCTGGCCTTGTCCCTTTCCCTCTCCCATCCCCTCCCCACATTGCCAAGATTGTCGTAGAGAAATTTGTGGAGGGCGTAGTCAAGTTACATGACATGCCGCGTTCAATTGTAAGTGACCAAAATTCCATATTTATCAGTCACTTTTGAAATGAATTTTTTAAATTGTCAGGTACGGAATTGAAGTTGAGCTTCTCATACCACCCGCAAACCGACAGACAATCTGAAGTGGTCAACAAATATTTAAGGTGCCTTGCCCATCAACGGCCCAGTAAATGGTACCCACTCCTTCCATGGCAGAATTTTAGTAAAACATCATCTACCACTCATCAATCGGCATGACTCCCTTCCAAGCCTAATATGGACGCCCTCCACCCACTATTCCACATTACATTGAGGGCATCACAGCTGTGAACGAGGTTGACCACCAACTGACAGCAAGGAACGAAATACTCCGCCAACTTAAGGCCAAAATTTCCAGCAATCGCATACAGCAAACAGCAAATTCAGAGCGACGCCATGTTGAGTTTCAAGTCGGCGAATGGGTCTTTCTCCAGTTAGAGCCTTATAGACAGCAAACCGTTTTCAAAGAGCTTTACAGAAGCTTGCACGCCACTTCTTTGGGCCATACCAAATTGAAGAAAAAATTGATCAGGTTGCCTACAAGCTCAAGCTGCCTCTGGAATCTTGCATTGATCCGGTATTTCATGTTTCCCTACTAAAAAAGAAAATTGGCGATTCATTTCTTCCCAACGAGGAACTGCCCACGGCAACAGAAGAAGGCAATATTATTCTCCACCCAGAAGCAATATTAGGTATTTGTTGGCTAAAAAAAGGTTCACCATTTGTGGAAGAAAGTCTGGTGAAATGGAAGGACCTGCCCACAGAAGATGCCACCTGGGAAAATTCTAAGGAGCTGCAAGCTAGATTCTTCAACTCGAACCTTGAGGACAAGGTTCCTCTTCGGGAGGGAGTGATGGTAGGCCCCGACGATCCCAACGGGTTCCTGTGAGGAATCTGAAATACCTGGACTGATGAAGACCTTCAGAAGTGATCTGCAACGGCAGCAGTAGGAAATACAGACACCTCCAGAATCAATCAAGGGGATCCCGCAATCTGTTCTCCTACTAACATTTTTCTGATTTCCTTGTATTTTTAATTCTTATCTAGAACCACCAAAGCAGGAATTATTGTTGTAAGAAATTCTATTTAAAGACTGACCAAACTATCAATAAAGCATATCATAATTTTTCTGGAACTTTTCTTGGTCTTTTCTCACCATAAGCAGAAAATTCTTGGGTTATTTTGCAGCTCTGACTGGGACCTAACAAAGTAACTGAACCCCACACCTAGAAGAGTTATTTGTTACATAGATCTTTGTCCTAATGTCCCAAACTTGGAAATTATGACATAATTAAGTAACAATCATGCCGAAAAACAAGGATATCTAGACTGATGGTGAGTCCTGCTTATAAACCAACCTAAACTGATACTTCTGCTGGCATATTACGTTTAGTTACATCGTTTACTCATGTTATTGCAATTGACAGAACTTGATTCTCATCCCTGACCTTAAGAAGTTTATGCTAACTGTTTGTGGTTACGATATTCCTCAGCCATGTACTTGTTGTTTTTGGTTTATACACGTTTAACTTTTGTAGATGCTTATGATAGGTGGAGATATTAGAGCCTAAAATGAAAAGCTTGGATCTATATAAGCTCCAATGCAGACTGAAGGACATCTACTTTCCATATATCCAGGTTTGCTCAGACCAAACCTTGGAGATCAACTGATTTCTTTCAGTTCCAAATATGAGGATAAAAAAGAGACAGGTTTTTGTATTTGTATTGTAAATATTGTTTTTGAAAAATTTTCTTATTATGTAACCGTTTTTTGTTTGAAGATCTATTATCACTACCATGACTTTTGAAAGATGTCCTGAGTCTAAACTACATATTTTCCCTTGTGTTGTGGACTGTAGTGCGACGAAATGTGCGAGACAGGGAAAACTGAAACACCAATTGAGTTCCAGGTTTGATATCTGTGCATAGATTTTCTAATTATTATATGGATGTCTTAGAGTTTATATTCAGTTATCATTTAGGGTTATAAAGGTTTTGCTTCATCCTCTGGTAATAAACTTCTGCAAGTATTCTATAGATTTTAACCAATAAGAGACTGATATTTTATGTAAATAACCAAATGAAATTTTAAGTTGGAATGAGGAAAAAAAAAGAGAAATAACAATGATATATGAAGAAGTGTACAGGATTCTATTATGGGTGGACAAGTATATTATTAGGGAGAACAAGTCAGTGTGAGTTATATGTAAAATAATCTGTTAATTATCGAGATGTCTATTAGGAAAGAATAAGTCTAGATGAGGAGGAGGTAGTTAATTCAAGTAACTTTCATTTAACTACTCTTTCTCTTGTATCAACACATACTGTTTCCTTTTACAGATTTTTAGGTAAGAATTTTTTTTTAAAAAAATGTCGAGTGCTTTCTTCTTCAAGAGATTATTGAATTCTCTCTTAACGAGTCCATATTATTAACAAAAATCGAAAACTGTTAGTCTCTCTTAACGAGCCCGTACTATTAACAAAATTTCATAATGAGATTCGTAGACTGGACCGTATTGATTTGGTATCAGAGTCAAATCATTATGGAGGAATCATATTCCATGTTTGACAAATTTCTGCAAACTTATCAAGAAGATACAGAATAAGATGAATTGAAATTTTAATATTTAGTGGGGGAATAGAGGAATTATTGGCTAGAATAGCTACAATCAGTCCAGTAAAGGAAGCAGCCAAGCAGACCACCATCAGGCACGCTGCACAGGGGCTATTAAATCCACAACGCACCCCTCTGTGTGCACTGCACAGTCCTGCAAATGCGCGTCTGCTTGCTCAACGCTAACCGCAGTGGCCTGGAGGCACCAGCATGCTAAGCGCCCTATCTGCCTCGTTACACCAAACTGGACCTTTTCCTTTTTGACAGTTCCGAGAATGGAGAAAATTCTGAAATTCCAGCGTTGCTAGAACTTGAAACTATAGCAATGGCAGAAATTTTGTGCTTGAAGACAAGCACAAATTTTCAAGAGGGCGTAATGTTATGAGTAATATTTTAATGTATTAGGGAGAATAAATGATATGTTAAGCACAGGTGGACTTAACATATCATGATGTACTGGGGAGAATAGGTCAATATGTGTTGTGCAAAATGATGTTTAATATGAACATGCATATTAAGGAGAATAAGTCTAAATAAGCATAAAGAGATAGTACATTATAGATATAACTTACATAACTACTGTTTCTCTTGTATAAATACATATCGTCTTCTTTGACAAATTTTTGGTAAGAAAAAATTTATGAAAAATGTCGAGTACCTTCTTACTCTTGAGATATCGTTGGCGTCCGTCTTAACAAACCCATACTATTATCAAAAATCAGAAATAATTGAGTTTTCTTTTAACGAAACCATACTATTAATAGAATCCCATGACAAGATCCATGAACTGAGACCATCGTAGATACTTCCAAATTGTATAAATACGGTTTTGCGCAAATGGAAATATCAGGTGGTTATTATTGCATGCAATTTCTGTAGTTAACCTTTCCATCATTGTCCATTGAGTTTATGGCATCACATAAAAGCATCCTGTAGTTACGATCGCTTCCTTTTGCACTTTGGGAATGAATGCGTGTGTTCAGGTTAATGGTGTTGATTTGACTGAAATTGAAGGTGGGGAGGTTGCAGTTACCAACTTACATTCTTGCAATGGAGATGAATTTACTTTTCAGCTTCACTTTTCCCTTAGAAAAGACCATCATACAACAAGCCCAGGTTGTTTTCATGGTTAATAATGTCATATTTTTAACAACATTCCTGATTGTGACACCTTTCTTTTTCAAACCTGAAACCTTTCAGGCTCTAAGGCATCTCAAGAAGCAAATGCTCGCCTTAGGTGTGTTTATCTTCCTATTGTTGAGGTACGGGAATTTATGCACATAAGTTTTCTCCTTAAATGATGCAACAAAAAGTTCTAAAATGATTCATTACAGGGGGAAGAGTGTATTGAGAGGATTTTGGAAAGTCTGGAAGCTCAAGGATGTGGAATTCCAGAAAACTATGAAAGCTTCAGTCGTGTTTCAGTTCGTCGGCTTGGTCGTCTACTTCCAGATGCTCGCTGGGTTAGTTACCTGCTCCTGTGAATGATTATAGACTATTTAGCTACAATTTAGATTTATTTGTTAGGGATAACCATAATTCTTACTCTTTAAGGCAGTTCATTTATTTTTATTTTGAAGCGGCATGGAGGCTTTGATCTATTCTTTTTGTTGCATTTTGTTATGGTTGACTTGTTCCTTTCTCATCCTTCGTAGAGTGGTTGGAGTGTAATGCTAATGTTTTTAAGGACCAAACTAGCCATCCAGCTTTTCTGGGGCAGAATGGTATTCTTTTCTGCTTCGTGGGCTAAGGCTCATGGCTCTTTAATGGTGTCTTAGAAACGTTTTTATTCATAAAAAATGTTTCTCACTCTTTTCAGTTCATGATTTCTTGTGATTTTTTCATGGATGTGCAAAACATTACTATCCGAAAATTGGAGTAATTTAGTGTTCGGAAGTATTAGATGGTGTTTTGTCCTATTATGCAGGCTATAGGTTTTACCCTTTTTCCTTTTCTTGTATCCCTCCCTAATACTGTTGGATATCGAAATTCAAGTCTGTTGTGGAGTGAGATCTCATTTGAGCCAATTAACTCTTTTCTTTTGCTTGAAATAAAGAAGAGAATGAAAACATCAATAAACTTCAGTTGTGATTAGTATGGGATGTTTGTTATTGGGATAAGCTGCAAAGGATGTTGCTGGAAGGTAATACTTTTACTTGCCTTTGCCCCGAAAAAGTAATGGCAATAGAGAGCTTAATAAATGGATAAATTTGATTGCACCCTTAGAATTAGTAGATTTCAAGGCCTACAACTAAATGAAATGAATGCTTTTTTTTTTAATTGTCTAGGCATTACTTCCATTTATGGACTTCAAGCAGAAGAAGGGAGATAAAGCTCTTATATTGAAGAGATGCTGCATGAGAGTTAAATGCTTTGTTGGTAAGGCGTATTTAAAACTTACTTTTGTTTGGTCTCGCCAGCAGAATTTCTTTTGCACTAAAAATATTTGTTTCCTTGAAAAAAGACTGTTGCTTTTGCAGAAACAGATGCTGGTTTTAATCCAACTCCTTCTAAGGTATGTTATAGATACATCCACAGCTTTCAGTATCATGTTGGATCTGCAACTCCACATTTTACAGTTGTATTTGAGTTTTCAGTATTAGGTTCCTTGGTTCTGACACAATATATATATATACATATATATACATATGTTGCTGGCTGTCATGTCCTCTTTCGTCATTCTTTTGTCATTTTGTTCCTTATCCACTTACAAGATAATGAATAAAGGCATTGATTTGCAGACGGATCTAGCACACCACAACCTTTTTACCATTGCTTTGAAAAATTTTGGCAGTAAGTCATTTGAAAAAGAGAAGAACTCTGGCAGTAAGTCAGTTGAAAAGGAGAAAGGTATTAGTTTTTTTTTTGTTGATTGCAAGGATGGAACTTCTTGTTATTTTGTTACGTTGATGCTATAATGTTCATGCTTAATTGTGTAATTTAAAATTTCTAGATATAACAATCGAAGTTCATAGATCTGGAAGACAAATAAACCCTTCACAACTAGAAAAAGAGTATCAGAATTGGATCCTTCAGATGCATGATGACCATGATGAGGAGATCAATTCTGGTGAGGATGAACCGGTTCTTGTCATAAGCCCTCTGAATAAGAAGGAGCTTGGCATTTCATCAGATGGTAGGCATCAATTACCAGGGATTTCCATTTCACATACAAATAACATCAGATTGTCAATGCTTATTGCTGAGCTTCTTTTAGCATGTAGCCAATCAACTTATTTCTACCATTTTTATATTCTTTTCTAGTCTTTCTTGTTCTGTTTGTTTCACACTTATTCCTGTTCAATATAGTTGTAAGGGTGCATAGGATTTTCAAGAGGAAGGGGTTATTATGGAAATATGGGCAAAACATAAAGGTTCTGAAGGGAGCTTGCGCTGGGTGCTGGAAGAATAATGTCTATGCAACATTAGAATATTTTTTAATTGAAGGATTTCAGGGAGATGCTGGTGGTAAGGTTAATATTTCTAATAATATTTGACCATTAATCTTCGTTGTTGATGATTAAACAAAGTATGTTTTCCAGTCTCTCATGAACTCAACTTTGCCCAAATCCTGCTGATTATAGACTGTATTTTCTCTTTTTTACGTTTTGGACAGGGGAAGCTCGAATTATATGCAGGTATGTTTTCTTATTCATTTTCTGCTGCAAAGGCTCTTTGTTTGTTGAAACTTCTAATTTTTATAATTGTTTTCTTGTGAAATATATACATTTTTCATTTTTGGTGTGTGAAGGCCACTGGGTGTGCCAGATGAGAGTGGTTGTATCCTTGAAGTGAATGACGGGAATGCTCGGTTAGATATTCGTAATTCGTTATCCTTTCCAATTAGTATCATTGATTGCGGAAAGGTTTGCCATTTACTTCTATGTTTTCCTCGGGTATGATCTATGTGTAAAATATTTACATGTAAGGAATCGTTTGCTAAATTCTAATCCATTTCTAGTGTTGTGCCATTGAAAAAAATGAGTGGGTGGATCGCCTCGAGAAACAAAAGCAGAAAGCCCCATCTATGATTGATCTGCTGAATGAGAAACACTGTCAAGAGTTGGAATTTGGTGGGGTATGTTTCTTCCATCTATTATTTACTACATAGAAGTTGTGGCTTTTGGATACCTTTGAAAGTGCTCTTTGAACAGATCGTAAAACCTTAGTTTTCATGTAGTTTTTCTACCTGTTAATTTTGGAGGTAAACTGAAGTATCCACATTGAGCTCTAGACTGTTCCTTTCTCTTAAGCTTTAGCAACTATACTCATTACTAATTTCTGTTCCAGGCGTTATCTCATGATCCAGTTCTTGCTGGACAAGTTCCACCAAGTTTTGTGGCCGTTATCCGACCTGGTAATTTTGATTCTTCGGGTGCTTCTAAGAACTTGGATCAAAAGTTTATTATCAAGAGCAACTTTGAAATGCTTTTGGAAGTCAAATTCAGAAGAGAAGTCAAGTCTCAAGATGATCAACATATTTACTCAGGACGTTCAGCACCTTCTTCTCTTAAAGGGTTTCATGGTTTATACATCTTTTCGCTAGGATGTAGGTTCCCAAAATTATTTGAGAATGCTGGTGTTTATACATTTACTTTCTCCATTGTAAGTTATCACAGGTTATTTCATTTTGTTATTTCATTTTTGTGCATTATCTATATAATCTGATTTAATGAACTCTTATACATCAGCCAGAGTCAGGTTGCGAGACATGTGTAAAACATGTTCTTGTTAAGGCATCATCTGAGGTTGGAGAGTGGAAAATTATAAATCATGAAAAGAATACATCATATTCTATCCAGTAAGGGCACTTGGCTCTTGAATTTTCAATTGAAGAAGTCTTCTGTGAAAATTTTGATATTAATGCCAACCATTACTCAAAAGAATTATCCATGTTTTACAGGGTTGGTTCATCTTTCCCACCTTGCTCCATTGCTTGTTATGACATCTATGGGAATCGAATTCATTTTACTTCTACCCCATCTGTGATCGCCAAACTTATTACAACGAACGGTTTATGCATTGAGATAGATAAAGTGAAGGTTAAGCTTTCATATGATAAATCGATTGTTAAGATTGAGGTATGAACAGTAAGAAACTTGCTGTTTGCCCCTCCTTTTGACATTGCCCTTTATGTACATCAATATGAATATAAATTGTCATTTTTGTTATTACTTGGATTTCTTTTTGCCTGTGCAGAATATACTAATTCATAGCAACGAGTTAGACAGGATCAGACCAAGTTATGCTGCAACGTTGGTGATATATCAAGAAGATGAGTTGGTTTCAGTTTCCATTCCATGTGAAAGTATGCTGGTCTACATTGATACAGGAAACAGAATTATTGATTGTTTAAAGTTGCATGCATACACCATACTTCTTTTTCTTCCTAGATAACGTTTTGTTTTCTAATTTTTGTTAGTTGTACCGGGATCTTTGCGGCATGTCATTGTATGGTCACCAACATTGAGGAATAACTTGCTTCCTGGTTGTGTGATTAGCCATTTGATGTTGGAGGTATTTAGGCACTGTACATAATCTTCTTTTTCTTTCTTATTATTTTCCTTTGGACTTATTATTCAGCATAGTTTAATGTCAGCTTTGGATCTTGTACATTTGTATTTATACACTGGCGAATGATCAAGTGTTTTTGTGGATCGGTAGTCATTTCATTTGGATAATGGAAATTTTTTGGAGGCAGAACTTGCTTGTTCATGCTCACTTATATGTTTTTCCTATCCATTCTTCCAGATGTTTGATGAATATGGTAATCATATTATAGAAGGCTCCGAAGTTGAATTGAATGTGGATGGATTTCACATCCAAGGCCAGATAGGCCGAAAGCATAAGGTTGTTTATGCTTCCCTTCTGCATATTTTCTAGCATATTCCTTCAAATGTTCTAGTTAAAGAAATAATATCATACCTCATAATGCAAAACTATGGTAGTTAGGTTTGTTTCCTTCTATAGTATCAATAATTAAGATTCGTATTATTCCACATTCACAATTGGTGATTGCCGTGCACAAAAATTGAAGAGAATATTATATCTTTCCATCATGGGCCAAACTTTTAGGAGAGTGATGATATATAGATTATTCAAATTTTCCATGCTGTACCTTAGATATTTTGCTATTTTTGTCATCTAAATTTATGAACTTAATCTGAGCTGGAAATTGCCCACAAAAGTTAGTTTATTCCAAGGTTCTTAGATGTGATGGATATGAAGAAAATGTTGCAAATTTTATTTGTTAGATCACATTGTTAATTAGTTAGATTTTCATGGTTGAATGTCTGGATATTATTTAACTTCGAAGTTTTGATAGTAGAATTTTTACCATGTAGGTGAATGATCTTGGATATGTAGACCTCAGTGGAGTTCTGAAAGTAAATGTGGGTTATGGAAAAAGTGGTATGCATATTTAACAGCTTTTTGCTCCATGATAATGCTTTTGTCGCTCTATCCAAGGATGACATGCAAGGTGGTGCTATCTTATTATTGATAAAATGAATGAGCAAATTTCCACAAACAAAATAACTAACTAGGGAGATAAATTTAACTAGAATGTTATAGTATTATGAAAAATGGAGCTATAATTTGATTCTTTCTTTTTGAAACTTTCATGATCGTACTGAATTCTGATAAGTAGGAGAGCGAGTTGCGTAGTTCAACTGCTATTTTGACAGCAGTTTCTTTTCACAAGCTTTTCATGCCAGGAAGTTTCCACTCAGGGCTAATTAGTATAGTGTATTGTAGATTGTCTGGTCTGCCTCTTTGTCATACACATTTTCATCATGGCATTTGAAAGTATGGTGCATGTCCAGACATCAATGTGAATGTTTTTTAAAGTTTTGATTTTCTTTCTTTCCATACTCCCTTTTATTCAGCAGTTACTAATTTTTGTGCTTTTGGATATATCATTTGTATATGAGAGTTGCATGTTTTCACTGCTTCGCAGCATCGCTTATTGTTTTGTCTGATAGTAAAGCAATTTTCAAGCAAGAGTTTCAAACTGAAACAAGAAAGCTCATGGTTGCATCAGGGGTTAGTAAAGCGCTGCTTTCTCTTTTTTTTTTTCCCATATTAAGTTGCATTTTCTCTGCTCATCTTTTTGATGGAATATATGTTATTAGGTACCTGAATCCTGCGTTGCAGGCTCTCACTTAGAAAATGTAGTTTTTGAAATTGTTGACTCTAATGACGAAGTTGATGGAACTATCCATTACGATGAGGAATGCAATGGAGCCCATACTCTAACAATAAAGTCGGAGTCATTTAATAAGAATCAGTTGTTTCAATATGCTTTTATACATGGACGCTGCACTGTTCCGTTTCTCCCTCTCCCTAAGAATGAAGGGACAATTTGCTTTGAAGTTTCTCATTCTCGTCATGCAGAGCTGCATCTTACTGTCAAGGTCGCAGCAACATTTAGTTATTTTCCTTCTCGCGATCTAAAGTTCCATATTGCTTAGTTTTTATTTTATTTTCAGATTCGTGTTGAGACAGCTAAAACTGCAGAATTAGAGCCTGCTACAAATGTGAGCTGGCATGAGTATCAATCATCTTGTTTATATAGAAAAAGTTTGCTGCTCGAAGACTCCTCAAACGGTCATGCAGCTAATGTGGTATCATTGATGAATAATGAGAAGGCATGATGGATTTATCCTATTTGTTTATCAGCTTCCAGATAAAAATATTTGGCCTCAATGCAAAACTGTAGTTTTATTGGATGGAAATATTTAGTATAGCAATCGAATCCAATGTCTTATACTGGTTTCTGCAGGTGCTTGCAGATGGAATTGAGAAATATGGTTTGCTTATTGGGAAACTTGAAAATCAGCTGGAACTTCTAAATGGTTTTAAGGCAAAAGTCGAGCACGAGAAGGGTGTTTTGCAAGGTCTTGGTTGTTAGCTCTTCTTGAATCATGCACCAGTTTGTTTTTTTTACAAGATGCAAGATGGTTAAGGAAACATTATTGAGATGCACACCGTGGTTGAGGCTGCAGTACTATTTCTGACAATTACTATTTAAACAATTATAATAAACAGATTATTCGAATCAGAGAAAGTGAATTTATGATTGCCATTCGTGGAGATTTTTGTCATGTCAAAAATCTAGTTTTGTTACTTTTATAAGTAATTGCGGCAGTACTATACTTTACATTTAAACTGTATGTAATTGCGGCCACACTCTGGGCAGATCAATTCCTTGAACTCTTGCTGCACGTTTATATTTTATTTAAGCTGTTGCTTCTTACTGCAATTGTCACGGTATGTTGCCAGGTGAGATATATTTAGGTATAAACATTAACCAAAGACCACTATCGAGATTCTTCCATTGTCATGAATTATTATTTGATTAAGGACATTTTTAGGCCATAATCTAGGTAACAGGTGGTCTACATTGCATAGAATACTTACCACTTATGAAACTGTTAGATGTTATCTTACGTGGGGCTTTGTTTTTTTTATGGTTCAAATTATTATTTGCTTTATTAATTTGTTAGTTGAAGATACTGGAACTTGTTCATTTCGTGAATAGTTGGTGAAAATGCATTAACTCGGCCCAATGTTTCCCTCAAATGATTTCAGATAATCTGGACTGCTTGTGCACACGAGATGAAATCATCAAAAGGATCGAGAACAAGGGTGGCACTGCTGCTGCTCTTTTTTGTTGCTTGTTGAGAAGAGACATATTTGAAGAGCCACATATTTGTTTAATGAAGAATTTATCAGGTGGATGGTTTACACACATAAGGCTTCATAGCGGATAACCAAACAGGCATAAGATTGAACGGGCACGGGTTTCGCAAAACAGGGTAGTACATCCTATAATGTATTTTCTTTTATTATATTGACATTTTTCTCAATGCAGAATATTGGCTGAATACTTGGGTGAAGATCAGCTGTTTGCTGTGGTGTGTAGATCCTCTGAAGCTGCACGTGAGCTTGAGTATTACAACCAAGATGGAGAAGTTAATTATAATCTCGGTCTTCATGCTGAAGCTGCAGCTCTTGGAAAGTCTATAAATGACCGATTTCTTGTTATATGCCTTGAGGATGTAAGGTATGTTTGTAGAATTTCAAAATTGCAGTTTCAAATTGGACTTTAAGAACTGAATATATCCAGAAAAAATCATAAAACGCGCAAGTCATTCATTCTTATAATGCACAGAGCTTATACAGGGGAGTTTATAAGGGATGACCCTCAAGAAAAGCTAGCCTTGCCAGATCCTACCTTACCAACTGGGGAAATTCTACCAGGTTTCATGGGGTATGCAGTTAATATGATAAACATAGATGCTCATCACTTAAAAAATACAAGAACGGCTGCAAACCATGGTCTCAGGGAGACCCTATTCTACAGTCTATTCGGTGAGGTTCAGGTGTATGAAACGAGAAAGCATATGGAAGTTGCTCGTGCATATATAAATCATGGTGCTGTATCTTTAGATGGTGGAATTTTGAAGCCGAATGGATTTGTTTCACTTGGAGTTCGGTATGCAACACATTTTCTTGTTCTCCATTCCAAACGCACACTAGCATTTACTCATGGACATTTGCATGACATATACCGAATCTAGAACACATAATTAATTTCAATATATGGTTTCGCCTAAAATTTTACTAAATAGCTTTTTGGGGTACGGTGCCATTGTTTACACATACCTTTATATGTATTTAGTCTTTAAAACTAATAAGAATCTTATTTGATCAGGTTTAATCTGTGCATGTAACAGTTAAAGTTTTAAGTAAATTTTATATTGCGTTGGTGTTGCGTAATCTCTGTAATCTCATTTATCGTTTTTGCCGATTGTTTTTTTTTTTTCAGGAATTCTAAAATATATTTTCCAGTTCAGATACATGAATCTCCTGAAAGTACAAAGATCTCGAGACAAATTAAGGAGAAGAATGTAGATTTGGAAAAAGTTAACCTCAAAATACAGGAAGTAACTAATTATCATAAAAAAGCTACCAAGAAATTTGGCAAGAGAAAAACGAAGTACCTAAAGCTTGTGGGTGGTATCAAACCTGCCTCTGTGAAATCAGAATGTGAATCTTGAGATAAGTTATCGAGTCTCAATAAGTAGTTTGCAAATGTTACTGCAGTAAAATTTCTTATTTTGCTCCTACAAGTATTATTTCTATATATTTTGTGTAGCCACACACAAAGAATGCACGTACCCATCTGGCTGAGAGGCCTTGTTAGATTTCATTATGGGTTTCATGTCAGATAAATAAATTATATTTCTATAATTTATTTAAAATATATGTATTTTTTTATTCATTTGAAGGTGGGTTTTTTTTCAAAATTATAAATTTTTGAATTTTATCTTCACTTAATTCTCATATGTAATGTTATTAGTACACAATGTATGAAGTTATGTTTTGAACAGATTTAGAAATTAAGAAATTTGCACTAGAACAATAAAAAAAATTGAAAACACAGAAATTAATATAAATAATGCTCTTTTTAACTTTTTTTTTTTAAAAAAATAAATTTAATTTCAACTAAAGCAACAAATTTTTTATAAATCTCTAAAATTATAATTATAAATTTATGAATAATGTTATTTTGAAAATTAATTAATTTAATTTAATTTAATTAAAGATATAAAAACAATTAATTCTTGATAAATCTGTACAAATCAAAAATTATAATTTTATAAATCATTTTTTAATTCAATTGAGAATATACGGTAAATACAGTAAGATTTATTTTTTAAAAAAGTGATTTCTATATTGTTTTAATTTAATTTTAATTGTTTCTCTTACTTTTTTTTCTCTCTTTCTGCCCTAACCTCAATTCTCCTCAGACCCTCAGCTGAAACTGCCCGTCTACCATCTTCGTCCTCCCACTCCCTAGGTTACAGAGATAGTGCTGTCTACATGCGTCGTACTTCTACGCCTTCCGTTCACTTGGCGTATCACCGTTGCCATCCGTATTGATTCGATTTCAATCTTCTTTGTGTACTGCTGGTACTCTTTCTTCATATCATGTGTTTTATATTTTTTTATAGTCTGCAAGAAATTCTAGATCAGGAGACTGAAATTTCTTGTTACGATAGGTGATAATTATGAATATGTATTCAACTTCGGATACTTGTGTATTAGCAAACACTGATTAAGCTGATATGGGGGAAAGTTATTAGCTGTTTGGTTTAGGAGTTGCGAGCTTGTTGCAGTAGATTCTAAAGGGAGAACATCGATGCTTGCTTGCTATATCTCCGCGTTCTTTTACTGCTTGGCTCGTTCTTCGATTGGAATGATGTGTAAACTTCTGAAATCTAAAGGAAATGGTTAATTAGACCAATCGAAAGTTAGGCGCGCGGTTATTCGAAAACAGTTAATGGGAATTAGGAGTAGTAGTTCCAGAATTGTTAAGGAAAAAGAAATGGCAGGTTGTGCGAATTGGGGGAATAGCAATGAAGTTCATAACTTTGGATTAAGTTCCCACGTCTTTGTTTAATAAACTGTATTCTTTGTCTTTTTTCTTCTTTTCTAAAAAAAAAAACTCTCTCTTTTCTTCCTTCTCCATTTCTCGTTTCCCTTTGTAGAATTTATTGTGTGGGCTTTGTGCTGAGGGTACAGGTTTCACCTGTATCATGAGCAAACACTAATTACTGAGACTGGGCTTGAATATTAGAGAATTCCGTGAATAATTTGTCAAGAATTCCATCAGTCTCAATTGAATACTTCTCTGAGATATGGTTTTTGTTTGAAGGATTGATATAAGGAAGACAACCCAAAAGCCCACTTTGTTCCAGGTGGATTTTGGGTAGAGGGAAGAAAAACTCCCTAGGTGGGTTTAAATCCAAAGATTTGGATATTTAATGAGGTTCACTTTTTATGTAATAAGCTGCCTTCATCTGTTTCTCTCTTTTAGTCTCTGTATGAGCTGCTCGAGGCATCATCTTAGCTACTAATGATTTTTACTTACTGTTGAGCTTATAGTGTGGCCTACCCAGTACCCACCGGGATGGAACATTTGCTTCTCTTAGATGATTAGATATGTGTTCTATTATTCTTCCTGACCTAAGGATAAGCCTGTATGGTCTTTGACTTGGTATAAGGGTTAACTTGTTGCTAGAAGCTACAAGATTTCATTGGTGTCTTGTCTGGCAGAAGAATTTTCTTGCTTGTCTTCCTTTTTATTTCTTGCAGTTAATGAGAAAAAATCATTTTTGATTACTTGAGGACCTTCTATATAGCTTGTCTTTTGTCTTTATAAGGAGAAGATCATTGCAGAACTCAATTCTTGCACTGAAATTTCCTTTTGATTAGGAGAAGGAAAACTTGGTTTTCGAAAACGTAGCTATCAGTATAGTCTATGTAATCAATTTGCATAGACCGACCCACATATTATTTCTTCTTTTAAAGAAAAAGTTAATAACATATTAGAATGGCACCAAAGTGGGGTACCGCCCGGATGCACAAGAATTTACAGTGAAGTAAGGGGTATCAATGACATCTTCAAAATCTTCATCTCTAATGATGTCATGCCCCAATATGAAATACCCAAAATATTTAAACCACCTATCTCTAAGTTTGCATTCTCCACATATTATGCATTTATTAGTTCCTTTGTTTTCCTTTCCTGTGTTTCTAAAGATTATATTGGCTGTTGATTAGTGCTTGATCATCAGCATGCCTCCTGTGTTTGATTCTCTTTTACTTTTTAAGTTTGCCAAGTTTTCCTTGGGGTACACATCCATTTTTTTTTTTTTTTTTTGGTTATATTGTGGAGCCTTTGTTATTCTGAACTTCCTCTTGAAATTTAGATTGAGTTTGGTTTGAGTTTCAATTTGATAATTAGAAATGAGAATATAGTGCAAATCATATGAACATTTAAATTGAAATTTTTAAAAATTCTAATTTCAAGTTAATTCTGTCCAATTCAAGTTGTTTTTTTTGGTGAATTTTTTATAATCAAGTAGTAATACAAATCTATCATTATGAAATTAAAGATATGAGTGGACTTGGGTCAGTTATTCGTTAAATGTGTAAATCATTACTAAATTTTATATGTCAAATAGTTGATCTCAATAAATAGAATTGAAATCTAATAGACTTTTGTAAATGCAACTAACTTTTACTGTAATATATACTTTCTTGTGTATGTGGCTTACGCATTCCTCTCTATGTGATCTTTTTTTGGAATCTCTAAAAGGTAATGGCTGGCAAAGCAGTACAATCTGTGGCGAAGGCCATCGGGGAGTATCAGTATCCATGGCGCGATAAGTTGGGTAAATACAAAAACGAGCTGTCCAAGGGTGTCTGGGGATACTGGGAGTTGGGTGCATGGAAACCTCTAGGCATAAGTGCTCGCCACCGAGCTAGACTGCGAAAGGAAGTCCTCCTTGCTGGGGAAGATTGGCCATATGACCCAGAGAGAAAAGAGATGAGAACCAAGAGGAAAGGGCACAAGTGCGATAGAATAGCTGCTGAAAAGCGCGAAAATACAGCGAAATTGATGGAGAAGATGCCCGACATGTTGCTGGCTTACAAGAAGCGCAGGTGGGAGAAGAAAATGAAGGAAGAGGAGAAATTGAAAGAAAGCAAATGAAATGTTTGATTGTTGGCATTTGTTTGACTTAATAATATGGATTTTTTGTTTGATCAAACTGCTCATGTTAAGATCCAAAAATAGTTGGTGCCTCTTTATCTCAATTCATGGTCTTTCAACCCTACATGAATTATAATTTAACCAATACATTCATATTTAACTCACTGTTGTCTGTGTATATAATTTGAATGATCTTTTTGAAGGTCAATATAGCCTTGGATGAAACAAAAAAGATGAAAGAAGACAAAATGGTTTTTTCCCAGAAAACAGTTTTTAAAAATGTAGGTTCCACCGAGATTTGAACTCGGGTTACTGGATTCAGAGTCCAATGTCCTGACCACTAGACCATGGAACCATTCTTGTGTATTGGCGCAAGGTTCTCTTCCATAAACTCTTTCAGTGTTTATTGTACTAGAAAGACAGTCATGGATAACTTTGTAACAGTATTTCTGACTTTTCAACCCAAGAGAAGTCTATCCGCTCTGCACTTCATTTCTTTCTCTTCACAAAAGCAATGGAAGATTCCCTCCACCTAATTGGAGCATGGATGAAAGAGTCCTATGCTTCTTCTTGTTATTTTTCTTAGCTTAGTCGGACCATCCTAAATTTAAACAAGATTCTTCGTCCATTAACTAAATCTATCATACCTACGATCTAACTAATTGAACGAGAATAAGTAAATTTTTTTTTTTCAATAATGATTCATCATTTTACCAAATTTGAGTTCGAGTTATTTAATAATAGTAACATTGGGTTTTTTTTAAAATAAAAACATGTATAACTTAACAGTAAAATATTACTTTACTACAATAGAAATTATCAGTTCAAACTTTGATTATTTTAAAATTTAACGATTTCGAGTTTTTGTATTAACTTTTTTTTTTATTATGATCGAATGAGAATAAATAAAAAATTTATAGTATCGAGATCAAATCATATCAATTATATTATATAGTTTTCAATTTTCCTTATCAAAATGCAATTTTGTTTAATTTGTGTAATTGATTGTATTGTTTACTTGTTACAAAATTGATTATATTTTGAAAATACTAAAATTTTAACTACAAAGATTATATAGTTTTATTTGAAGTTAGATTACCATATTGGACTTCCTACACGTAGCCCACACCAAGAACATCTTTAGGGCATTTTGGTCCTAAAATTTTGTTTGGGTTTGATGAGTCTTCCGGTTGGCATAAACGAGGCAAGTGTTTTTTCAATAATCGCACCTAAAATTTTGTTAAACAAAACCAAATCAAAAAATCACTTGGATCCCAACTCTGCTGTCCTAACCCCCCCCTCCTTGCCTAAATCACTGCCCCACCCGCATCACAGGACATAAATGCCTTCCAACTTTATCATGCCACAATACTGTGTCCCCTTTTCTCTCTTCCAAAGAAAAAAAACCCGTCTTGAAAACTGCGACAGCAGAGCATTAACTGCGTTGTTATGAGTCATCATGATTATGAACTTCGAAAAGTTCTTTGCTTTTTTTTATTTTTTTGGGTTCATTAAGGGTTTTAGCTCGAACCCTTGATAATTCTCATTTACTCTTCTATTAGGAGTCCTGTTCAAAAGAGAAAAAAGTTGGGTTACTGGGTCCATTCTTTGTGTATCTAATCTCTCGAGGTAATGGAGGGGACGATAGTGGACCACTCTCACGTGCTACTCAGTAACAAAAAGTACGAGTGGACGGGTTCGGCAGGTTGCGGGTGGAGTACTGCCAGAGGGTTTGAGCGGAAAAAAAGTTAACTGTGAGAGAGAGACTGCAAATCCTACAAAGGAGCGGAGAGCAAATGGAGAAGAAAGCGGGAGGAGGAGAAGAGAGGGACGGGGATGAAGTGGGTCGGCAGAAAAGGAAGAGAACGCAACCGGGTTGTGGAGGGATTTCGGCGGCAACGGTGGCCGGGAAGGACTGCGGTCGAGACGATGGCGTTGCTGCAAATGGGGTGTTGGGTTTTGGAGATCGTGGAGGAATTCAAGGCTGGCTTGACGATACAAATTGGTTCGGCGACGGGAGTAGTGTAGATGGGGGTCAGAATTTGCAGCTTGGGGCATAATGGCGGTGAAGATCGTGGGCGTCGGGTTGAAGTCGGTGGGTCTAGTGAAGCTCCTTGCTGGGCTCAATGTGGGTATAGCGAAGATAATGGTGCGAGTCGTGTTGGGGTTCTTGAAGGCAAAGGTTCAGAACCATGGTTTGTTGAAGAAGGCAGTGCAGGTGTTCTTGCGCGTCAAGGGATTCTTCAAGTTGGCGGGTCTTGTGAGGTTGCATGTGGAAATGGCGGTATGATTGGTGATGAAGAGCTGATTGAAAGCTTATTTGGTGAAGTTAGCGGTGCAAATGAGAGTAAAGGGGTGCCAGTTCCAGTCCAAGGCTTGTTTGGTGAGTTTAATGATGTGAATATTGGTGAAGGAATTCAGTGTTGGTGCGGTGAAGCTGACTGTGCTAGTCTTGATAGTAAAGGAATCAAGAGCTTGTTTGGTGAAATTGCTGGAGGAGACGGTGCTGAAACTTTTGCTAGTGAAGGAAATCAAGGGGGATGTATTGAAAACGGAGATTGTGGTGAGAATGTAGATGTCAAATGTAAGCCTGGTAGGCCAAAGGGATCAAAAAACACTAAACGAGGCCGGCCAACCGATTCAAACTGCAAGAAGAACAGAAATCTTGCAGGTGTATATCCAGAAACGCCCACTAAAATAGTTAATCCCGGTCACAATTTGGATCATGGTGTTGTCCCCTTGGGTTTGCAGAACGGGGGAGATGTTTTTCTGAGTGGAGAAGAAGTTAAGGAAATGCTTGGTCAGGTCTCTGGAAGTGGTGGAGGAACAGGAAATGAGACTCCATTGGCAAAGCGAAAGCGAGGTCGGCCAAAGGGATCCAAGAATAAAAAGAAAAGTCATGCTGCTGAAGAGAATCAGGGAATGGTGAGTGTGTATGCGGGCGTTGAGGATGAAAAGGCTGACCCTTTGCTGGTGACTGGTGTAGAAAATCTGTTCAATGTTCATATCTACGAGGAGGGTGAGGAATGCTTATCAAAATCTTCAAAGAATGAGAATGGGAAATTTGCATGTATTGATGGTACTTGGAATAAAACTTTTATGTCAGAAGGTTTAGGTAATGAAGGGACTATAATTTTAGGGCAGGATGACAATGGACTGCCTGGAGTGACTGAAGGTACTGGAGAAGGAAGTATGATTGTGATAACTCAGGGGAAGCGAGGTCGGCCAAAGGGTTCTAAAAATAAGAGAAATAATCTTTATGGTGAATAAATTAACAATGTTAGTGAATTCCAAGGTGCTGGTTGAG